CGACATGCATCCGCCGTAACTAAATTTGAATTACTCAAATCCAGCACTAATCCCTTTGCACAGATGGCCAGTGGGATTAAGAGAGTCCTGTAATTAATCCAATTATGCAGTTAAAGGTCTACCATGAAAAATCTGCCATAGGGAGCACACCACTCCTCAGCCAATGGGCTAACGGAACAGGGATCATTACCCAGGTGCCCCGGCACTGGCACCATACCTTATGCTTCTACGTGACATGTGCCAGGCTGCACTGCTATCTGGAAGTGATCAGCCTCCACCAATCACAGAAGGGCTGGATTAGAGCCCAAGACAAAGCTGGCAAATCAGAGCCAAGGAGGGGACTGTGGGTTAAGAGGCTACGTGACCGTTTAACATTTCACAGCTTGTGAGAAAAGGACCCACTATAACAAGACCTCCATAGCCCACATGCTGCTGCTTGACAGACAAACTCTCTTTGGATATTGACCTGCCATATTTGATAGTTTTACAACAAGCCACATAAATGGCACAGGGCAAACTGCTGTTGGCAGACAAGACGGCATTAACGATGCCAGACCCACACCATGCTGTCATCTGCCCAGCGCTTTAGTTACACGTGACAAAGGGGAGACTCAAGAGTCTACTCACACTTGACGACACTTGCTCTCTGTCTGCGATGTCAATGGGCACCACCTCCACCGTCTTCCACGTGGCTGGGTCCAGGCCATGAACCTGCCATTTGGGGGAGGAGGGGGCGGTGGCCAGGGTGAGTGAGGGTAATGGACAGGAAGTAAGGAATGAAGAAATCCAGTGAACGGGATTAGAAGGCAAGTCAAAAACAGCAAGGACACCTTTCAAAGTCACTCACGTTTTCTAGAGCGCCCATATCCGGTTTATGCCACGTCTCAATCTTAATGAAGAAGTCATCCTTCATGTACTCATTCTAGAAAGAGCAAGAGAAGCATTATGTTATGATAGAGGCCACCTGTAGGCTACAGAAAGTTACCAACTGACTGACAGAATCTCAAATCAGACCCATTCAGTCAGCCAGGTCCTTTGCTGAACGGCCAGTATGTCGGCTGTGCAGGAATAGCACGAGCCGCCCACTGCTTTGGGCTCTGCAGCAGCCCTACACCTGACCCATTTCCCAGGCTGCTGGTGTATCTGAAAGAGCTTTCCCAGCGCACCCAGTTTCCACTGGCAGATTAAGCGAGGGTCCCAATTCCTAGCAAGCCCATGAAACAAACCCCTTTCCCAGGTACACATAAAAATAAACAGGCAAAATAAAAGTCTCAAGAGCTCACAACTTAAGCCTCAACACTGATCCAATTAAACAATTAAGGGTTCACAGGAAACTGCAGGCATTGATTTTTCCACAACACATATCACTGCCAGATTCAGCAGTGGAAAGTGTGATAGATCTGCCAGCACAGCTATTAGGTTTTTCTTTCCAGTAGTCAGTCTGTAAACCAAGCCTCTGAACCAACCCAAGAAATAAGAGTTAATTCATGTTCCAGTGAGCCTATTGAGACTAAGGAGGAAGGTAAGGCATTAATGCTCCATAAACTCACCGTTACAACTGCAGCCAATGAAGAGTGAGCACCAGCAGGGGTGGGAGGAGCCAAAAGGAAAACAAAAGTGATTCAGTACCGGTATCAGCACAGGGACATAACAGGCCGCAGTCAATTATTAAAAAAGTATACACAACAATGTGATGATCTTGGTGAGCATGTATGTCCAAGCATATGATACATGCAAAGTGCCAGGAAACTGAAAAGGTGAGGCAGATACAAACTTATTCCAAAAATCACACATTTTACTGGATAATAAAATGCTTTCACATGGCTTCCCAAGTGCAATTTTAATGCAAAATAAAAAAAAAACTATAAAAGCATTTAAAAATAAAAATGAAATAAGCAATTAAATATATAGAACCATTCATTGTGGAAAATGTTATGCTAGGTACACTAAATGACCTGAATAAGTCGCACTTAATTAACTGAGTGGCCTATGGCAGCATACAACTGTAGTTCACAAAAACTGACTAAAGATTTCAAGACCAATATAAACTGTATATAGGTGAGGGGGGAATGGGTGGAAGAGAGGCATGGCCAGGCATAGAGAGGGTTCTGGGGTGGGGCCAGGTGGAACTCACTTGTCCGACAGTATGGGTAAGCGTTCCAGGCCTTCTCGTGGAACACCAGAGCCCCCTCTGGCGCGATCATCTTCACAAATCCTGGGACTTTGCTGAGGAGGAGGAACAAGGTGGGACAGCCTTGTCGTCAGGACAGTGCTCCAGGGATCGGCCATCCCAGTGGAAGCACGAAACAGCGTTTGCTTAAACGTTAGGCAATGGAGTCCACAGGTCTTCTGACACAAGATCGCCTGATCTTTCACGAGGATGGAGTTTGGAAGGCTTTAAAACACTAAACAGCTGTGCTTGTCTAAATCAACTCGGAATATCCGCCAGCACTTTGGAACATCAATAAAATTGCCTTCTATTTGGCATCTACATTTGTCATATGATTTATTTGATCACTGCCAGACCAACAGGTAGAAAGCGAGCACCAGCAACCATCCAGCACATTAACAGAGCTTCAGTGCTGTTTTCCAGATACATGACAACCTCACATCCCAGAACTAGTGCACGCTGGGTATGAATATGAATCCGCAAATGTTGTTCTACTCAGAGTTAGGCCCCTCCCCCCCGGCATGCCACATTCTGAGCACTCGTCCTCACCTCTTTAGATGGTAGATCTTGTGTGTGTACTGCCCCTTCTCTTCACCATTCTCATAAGGCTCATTCTTCAGGACCTCTATTCCCTCTCCACCTCCGGTCTCATTCTTGCTGGCCTCGGCTACAGAGTACAGCTGTCCCACTTGGTACTGCAGATAGAGGCCCAGTCAGTCACAACCAACCATCTACATACTAGTATCATATGAAAAACAATGATTAAGCCCAGTGTTGCCCATGCCGGACTACTTTGGGGTGATGGGGGGAAAAGCCACTATAGAACTCGATCTCCCAGGACGCCAAGTGAGCTCAGCTCATCGGTGGATGTAAGGGAAAAGTATGTACATCTATGAAGAGGCAGAGTGGGTGTAAACAGATTAAGAACATACTTGAAAAAACTGCCTGTGAGGTGCAGGCTTGTCTGAACCTGGCAAAGCACCACAGCATATGATTGTAATGCCACAGACAGCTGGCACCAAGGAGCCTGCTGTCCCACACATAGGACATATCCTCACACACACTGACAGCATTTACAAACCTGTAATCTCAACAGCAAAGAACTAGGCCATCAGACCTGCACGCACTAAGTGCACACGCCGCCCCTCACGTGTGCACACGCCGCCCCTCACGTGTGCACACGCCGCCCCTCACGTGTGCACACGCCGCCCCTCACGTGTGCACACGCCGCCCCTCACGTGTGCACAGCATGTAAAGTCTCTATTCAGCAGCTTGCCACTCAGGCTGCTTCCTCTGGGGCCAGAAAGACGTTGTCAGGTTTGGTTTTTTTGCCTTTTAAATGTTAAATGCTCCTGTGCTGACAGGAAGCAGACTGGCTCCTCATCCCACCTGGGCCCAGGTTCCATCTCCTAGGTGAACACTTTTTGGGTCCCAGCTCCCTCCAGTGCCGAATTCAAATTTCCTCCCAGTTCCAGTAGATGATGTCACCGTTCCAAAAGTCAGGGTTTAGGTGACATTCAACAAGAGTGTATGTTTATGAAATAAGTGCTTTTAACCAGGGCAGGGTTGTAATGCAATAATCAAACTGCAGTTAAAATATAGATAAGGAGCTGAAGAAAATCAGAAGCCAACACACGCTTGCAGCCCTGGGCTAAGGATAATTTTAGGCCATATATTTACCGGGGAAGCTTCATTATGCTGCTGTGTAAAAATGCAAGGGCAGTAATGGCAACATGAAACATACAAGAGATGAAGCCACATTTTAATGCTTCAACTGACCTACTTAACAGATACGAGCCCTTTCGGAATCTGGATGGTGAACCTGTGATTCTGGGAAATGCACCATTTAAAGCCAGAATGCCATTTTCATACTTGGTAGCATTTCCAAGCACGAGAGCCACCTGCAGAGTAATCAGCCCTGGTGAGACAGCCAGCTGAGCTCTTATCAAAGGACACACGCCTCATCTTCTTTCCAAAAGCCCTTTCAAACTGCCCCCACCTCCCATTCCATTCTTCAACCCATCAGTGATGGGATGCAATGGGCAGCCAGAACCCCTGGGGGCCCAAAGTAATACCCCAGCCCATCAGCACCAACTCTACAGCCCCACTGTCATGTGCAATCAACACCAAAATGCACCGTCTTTTCCATCTAAGTCACAAAAGACCCCAACACTATGCATCCAAATAAGGAGAGCAGATGGTCATCTAAAACTATACCTAAGAAATAGTTCATATAGCCACAGACACCACTGTTATTTTCACAGATACCACCATTATTATCCCAGAAAACACAGGGCATGGGAGACCCCCTAAAGGAGGCCAGCCACTATGGAGCACTTTCGTACACACAAGACAAGGCGGATCTCCGGTTAAACCAAATGCCTATAACCCCAAGAGAGGAAAACCACAAGATTATGGGAAGAACATGTAAATACACAGAGCTGGAGGCAGAAACCAAAGCCACAATATTACCCACTGATATACATATTAATGCAATGGCCCACATTATTTTAGTATGCCTTACTCAACCCCTTCAGAGAGACACTAATGGCTGCTTTAAGCACCAGGCTAGAGCAAAAGGACTCTCATTTACCTGGTTTTCACCAACATGGAGCTGGTGTCGGCGCTGAGCTGGTTCTCACTTGGTGCCTTTCGAGAACCAGACAGAGTTTCCACCAGTTTCCAACAAGAACGTAAACGTTATGTAGGCAGAAGTGAGAGGAAAGTATAGGTCCATATGAATTCTGATGTTTTTGGATTTATTTTAATCCGTTTTGAAATTTAAGTTCTTATATACTGCTGAACTGAAAAAATGAGCATTTAAGGAAACAAAAGTCTTAGTTTTCAGCGTATGTCTCGGTGCGCTCTGTCCATTTTTATTTCCTTAAAGGCCGCATATCTCCCCAGTCTGTGTGCATGTGAGTTTATTCTCACTCTGTTTTACCGCTGTCCTTTTAAGGATCATGCAATGAGTCTGCTGAAAATCAAATTCTGCTGTCCGTCTCAGGATCGTAGTGCTACGCAAGTGGCACAGTATTTTATTTATTCAACCTGCACCATGATTATAGTTATTAAATCTGGCCAGCAGATCGATCTTTCGTTTTCCGTAGATCAAAAAAAGCGATGTAACATTATTCTGCTAATAAGCGCCGGCAAGTTGTTTCACTGCCCGCACCGGCAATATTAGACAAAATTATATCTGTTACCAATCAAATTTTCCAGCTATGCGGAAGATTTGGATGCGATAACCAGTCCCACTATCACTGACGTTATGGAGATCAGCTTTTCTGTGGTGCCGTACTTCAGCCATTTTTTCTGACTGAGGGCCAGTTTTTTGTAAAGAACACGCATGGAACCAGTTCAGGATTGAGAAAAAGCCCAGCACCTGCTCCGGCACCGCGTTGGTGGAAACAGGGTAAGAGCTTCCATTTGTGATGTCTGGCAAATAAAAGCAGAGATGAACAAAGCTGTACTCACCTCTTCCACCGAACAGGGTAACACCACACGGCTAAAAAAAGAGAAGGCAGAGTCAGACACACAGATGGCAATGGCAAGTCCAGCAGGGTCAAACAGAACACATTACCCCAAACCATTAAGTCTCAGTGAAGCCCAAGAGCTTTACGTCAAACACATTTATTTCCATGTAGCCATTTCCATGAGACAGCACAAGGCAAAATAGGTTTCATACATACAAAGCATTTTATTCAATTAATCCACGAGTGCCCATCAACTCAACCAATATTAATGGCTCATGTGACCTTACTAGACTTGTGTCCACCAGCAGGCAACAATTAACAGCAGAAACACCAAATCACTCAATATCTTGACGCAACCGATCTTAACAGCAGCCACTGATGGTCCCCTGCCGTAAAGGCTGCTCATTCAGCGGATACCGTAGGTTCTCACTAGCCATTTGCCATATGAGCACTGGCGATTAATTTGCAAGTGTGGCTAGTTTATTTCTCAATCAATTTGCCACAATGGCAAAGACCAAACTCACAATCCCAACCATAGCGGTTTTTTGTGTCACACTAAAAATGTTTTTATGGTAAGCAGTTTACTTTCCAAGTTCTCTCAGAAACATTCTTATGCCACCACAGTCTTCAGTTGGACAAGCGGGAGGAAACTAGTGATGGGTCATCTGCGGACGAGCTGGCTTGTATGCTGAAGGTGGTTTTTTTTGAAAGTCAGTCAGATTTCAATAACCAAATCATTCAAACTATACACATTTTTGAGTTTGAAAGTTGAAGCTTAAGCAAATAAATTATACTGTTGAGCACGTGCAGAATCTGCACACAAAAGAGATGTATGGAAGATGAAATGTGACAAATGAATAAATGTTCTGTATATACAAATATATAAATGATATATAAATGTATATATAAATCCTTGACAGTTAATAAAAAAAAATCTTTTTTTTGAGATCATGACCTCATCGAAAGAAAAAACGTAACGGCACATAAAAATAATAAAAAATACCCTTTATTTGCCATTTGCACAAGTATGAGTACAGAGGCATTGTAATTCTTCTCTTTGCTCTCCATAGCTTAGGGGTCACAGTACAGGGTCAGCAAATGTGCGGTGCCCCTGGAGCTGGGGGTTAAGGGCTTTGCTCTAGGACCACGGACTGGGGTTTGAGCAGACAACCTTCCGACCACAAGCACAGAAACAGCCAGCTGAGCCACTCACTGCTGAAATCGGCTGATTGCCAGCGATTTCCAACCCTTTTCAATAGCAGAGGATAAGGGATTTAGAAAGCATAGCCAGGCTCTTAATCCAATGTACTGCATGTTATTCTAAGCAAGAAAGCGCACTCTTAATCATTCCATGACTAGCAGATGGTTTTAATTGTGACTGGTCGATGTATGTACCAGTCTGAAACTAAATAAAAAGTGAAGCATGCAAGAAAAAATGTTCAAATTTTTTTCTAAAATTTTTATTAATACAGTTTGTTACTGTTACAGTGCTATTTATCAAACATTTGGAATTACATTTTCACAATTGCTACTTAAGTTACATGATGAATTAAAGCGTTTATTAAAAATTTCAAGTTGAGAATATTTATTTTAAAGGGCTTTGAGAGGATAACAGTATTGAGCAGGTGTCCATTATTCCTACATACAATTGTGCGTTAAATTTATTCATGCATTCTAGCTTTAGATGGTTACTTAGTCATACTACCAATACACCCTTGTGTGCAGAATTATTAGGCAATTACTATTCCTAGAAATAATTTTTAGCGAAAAGTTGCAAGGACTTGTAGAAGTGAATTGAGAAGTTTTTTTTGGTCTAAGTAAATTTAGAAAGAAAATTAGTTTCACAAAAAAAAAAAAAAAATAGAACAAAATAGAGGATTATCGATGGCAGAATTATTATGCAATCAGAAACTATTTCAAAGAGATCTCTCTCGTCACCATCAACAGAAAATAATCCTATTTATTCAATTTATATAAGGAATAATGGCCATTCTATACAGTCCACTTTAGCACATTAAATGTCCTGTATGGCCACCTTTCTTCTCAATGACCATCATGAGCCTGATGTTGAGTGGTTCAATCAAGTTTTTGATTTGATCCCAACCTATATTAGCTGAGGCAGCTAGGACTGCCGCCCAGACGCTACTCAGTGGTGTACTGCTTGCCGCCTTGGTAAATCTCATATTTCAGTAAGGCTGAGTAGTTCTCAATGGGGGTTTAGTCAGGCGATGAAGGGGATCAGGTCATAATTCAGTCACCATTCAACCCTTTCTTGAACAATTAATGGAATACCTTGATGCATGGTAAGGGGCATCAATATCATAACCTTTTTGAAAGCTGCTGATTTTTTTGTACAGTTTGAAGAAGGTATCTTCTAGCAGTTGTCAGAAGATCTTGCAGTTAAATTTTACACCATCAGCAAGTCGTAAAGTTCCGACAAGTTCATCACTGATAACTGCAGCCTGCATCCTCACTCCTCCACCACCTTGCTGGTGCTTGAAGGTGTCCATCCTCTAGCCCATAAACCAGCTATTTCAGGAGTCACTTCTCTCATCTGTCCATAAAACCCATGTAAAATCAGTCTTGAGACATGTCCGCTCCCATGTTTGAGGTTTCAGCTTGTGTGCCTTACTGAGATGGTGGCGTTTCAGCCTTGGTGACCTTAGCAGTGTCGTGTAGCACACTGCAGCAAGTACTTCTTCAGATTCTGTTCAGATTGTAGAATCAAATGGCAACATTTTTCCAAAACTGCAGAGTTTCTGGAAGTACCCCCTATAACTTGACATATCTTAGGCAGTTAATTTGTATTTTCCGTCTACATGCTTCTTCCATCTTTGGCTGCTGGCCACACTAGATTGTTTGGTGATTACATTTTAAAAGTTTGCATCCCTCTGACAGGCATTTTACTATTTTTTTGCTCTCTGTAATAATATTAACAGCAATAATAATATGTTCAATAATTCTGTACAAGGATGTATGTATGCTGTCCTATTTTACTCCAAACAGGACATATACAGATTAAAAAATAGAGCATGCTCAGTATTTTAACAGTCCATTCTTAATTAAAGATTAATCCAGACTGAAACTATTAAATTGGAAAAGCAGATACAAGCAAAATACAGACTTGCCTAATAATTCTGCACACAATGTACATGGTCTTTCTAACCCAGACCTCCGGGTCCTCCTGGGAAAGGAAGCCTGGCTGCTGACTCATACTGATAAGCATAGATACATCTTACCATGCATCAGACTAAAGAGGGTGATTAGGGGCCAAAGGCTGCGTGATATAAAATTACAGTCCATACATTCTAGATTAGATACCAATCTGTTCATGCTATAGCTGGTCTCTCTAGGTTAATTAAGAATTAAAGGGTGCATGGGGAAATTCATGTGAGGAAGGAAGAAAAGAAACACATGCACTAAATATGGATTCTGCCAATGGAAACACTCAGTACATTTACATGCACACCAAGAAAGTCAAATTATTGTTTTAATCTGACTAAAACTTGACTTTTGAAGTCCATGAAAACGTGTTAGTCCGACTGAAATCATACTAAACTGAATCTCTCAAAGTTAGACTGACAAACCCAGATAATGCGACTGGGAGTCTATTTACACCCGCATGTAAACGTTCAATCTGACTCAAACTGGCCTAGGCGCTCTGCGCATGCCCCCGGCCTTTGACCTGGAAGTAAAAGAAGCTTGGAGCATAGCAGAAGACATACAGCATGTACAAAATTTACAGGGCTGCAAAGCTGCCCAATTCATCGTTCAACTAAAGGGCGCTTTTCCACCGCACCAAGTATCATGCTTTTGGTACTTCAAGGTGTTGGTTTTACACTGGCATAAAAACTGGTACCATTTTTTTTTTGTATGAAGTTAGCCACATTAGTTACTACTTTTGAAAAGCTAGAGAGAACCCTTCATAGCACGTGCAACTTAGATTCCCTCAAGTGCTTGAGCAAACCAAGTTTTAAATCAAGTTTCTCACATACCGGAACTGGAAAGTTCTCTAACCTTTCCATAAAGTCTTCCCCACACTCCCACAGTGACACAAAAACATTTGGGTACAAACCTGGGCAATTTCATCCAAAATAAAACAGGATTGCCGTCCATGACCTGAGGCCAATGAAACCCAAACCAGACCCAGCCTGCTGATTCAACAAGTCATACTTCTGTCATTCTTATAATTACCTCATTCTGCACATGTCAAACACGGGTGACGTAACATAACATTTAGACTTCGGTTTAAATACATGTGCCAGAAACACAACTACAACAACAACAAAAAAGGCTAGGCTCTTTGAGCTATTCAGTCATACATTTACTAGATACGTTGCATCTTACATACCAAAAGTACAGAAATGAGAGTGTGGAAAAGGGAAATTTAGGCTAAAAAGAGGACTTTTGGGGATACTATGACAGATGCTAATGACCTGTGATGCTAACAAAAGCCAGAGCAAGGCTAGCCTGCTCATTCAGCATGGGGTTACCATGTGGCTGGGCAATCCTCCTACAAGCAGCACTCAGATGCAGGTACAGAAGGGCCTCAGTCAACTTTCAGCGATTTCAGGGGAAGGAGTAAAAGAATTTTAAAAGACAGGGGGGGCTGACTAGTAGAAAAGTGTGCTCCGGCAGGCTGGTGACACTCAAGCATCCCATATTGGCAGCCAAACACAGGTTGGGCTTTTGCATTTTCGATTTAAGTCCATTGGCCTGCTTCCTCTTTACAGTGCACAATTTTAGCCAGTAGGGAGTAGCTGGTGGTGGCTGTTGCAGTCTGGGAAGTTTGCTCTGGAGCAAAACAGTAACTGGCAGCATCCAAACCTGAGAAAGCACACCCTGCGTATCCTTCTTGCTACCATATTCTCTTATATTATGTGCATCTTTTAGGGAATGAGGTCCTGACTCAACTGACAAACCCACTTCCGTTTGATGTGCCACTGAGAAACCATTAGCCACTTACATTATGCAAGCTACAGAAAAAAACAAGCAAGTTCCAGGAACTGCTGGCTGAGGGGTCACTGTTCTGTTCAGTGCAACCACAGGTTTTGGTCATCACACCACTTACATTTCAGGAGTTTTGCAACAAAACAAAAGTTAGTTATTGTTTTCATTCCCTGAAATATTAGTAAATGACTTAATAATGCCAACAAAACAGTGAGAATACCCTGCTCATGTAAAGAATGCACAAGGCACAACCAAAATTTAAACTGCAGATTGTTAGGACTTCTCCCCTGCCAGTCAGAGCAGCAAGATAAGCTATAAAACTAAAGACACCTTTAGCATTATGGAAATGGAAGGGGAGAAGTGCAGCTTCCTTACTGGACTTTGAAAATGCACCAACAGAATACGACACAGAGATTAAAGTCAGCTGACAGTTAGTTTGAGGCTTGCATGTTCAGCCGGGCATGTGTCAGTTACCATAGTGAGGATTTCAAAGAAAGCCCAAAGTATAAAGTCAAATACACACAGAGCTCCAAGCAGTTGCCTCACACCCACCAAATAAGAGATGAGAAGCAGGGAGGACCTCAATAACTCCAGACCGAGTGAGCAGCACTCCTAGCCTCCCCCAATGTACCTGAAATCCCATCAACCACCAAAAGTTCAAGCGCACACAAACACAAAGCTCAGTCATAACCTGCAGACCCACAAGACCAAGCCTATGGATGCAGCGATACAAGTACTCAGTACACAGTGAATCATATTTTTCTGCTACATTTAACTTTGGTATTTAACACCACCTCAATCACTCAGTTTGAGCAGGTCTATTAAAATATGATAATGGAAATTCTGACCTGGCAACATTTAAAATGTTCAATCAATGAAATTACTTTAGAATATTGGTCTAACTTAAAAAAAAAAAAAAAAAAAAAAAATATTGGTCTAACAAACACACCAGCAACATGGAAACGTTCGAGACAAGATGTTCTGAGAAGCACACTTCTACGAAAGTAGTGACTAATCCACCAAAAAAATAAAAGCTTTCATTACTGCAAGTCATCATTAACTCACTCTCTTGTTTCTTTCTCAACTTGAAGAGACCAAAAGGCTAGGGGAAGGACCCACAGCCAATGTGAGCCAACCGAGGTGGCAGGCTCACAAGCACAGAGCTGCAGGCCAGAGGACTGCATGAGCAACCTTCCCGTTTAAAAGGAGGCCTGCACCTGAAACCATTACTCTGTCTTTATTACCTCCAATGTGAAAGAACTGGCTAGGTAAATAAGCCAGAAGAACATACAAGCTGGGACACGTGAGGGCAGTACACACACTTCCACAAGTGTATGATCAGTAAGCAGCGTCCATCGCCTGCAGCCAAGCTTTAAAATATGAAAGAGTAAAATACAAAATGGAAGCTCCATAGCCGCTTGGAAACAAATGGTGACAATGGTGTCAATTAAAAGCTCCTTTCTCCCCACCTTCAGCTACAAGCTGTTTTCAGTAGGTGGCAAAAATTAAACGGGTTAGAAAAATGTTTCCATGGTATTAATGTACATACAACAATCATGGAAATAAATCAAACTCTACCTCACGAACAACTGCCCTTTTAGTGAGTGAAGAAAAAAATTAATAGAGGGAGCAGTTTTTTAACCAAGGAACCAAACTTTAGAAAACTGGCTGACTCATATAAAAAAAAAAAAAACACCAGTTATGCACCATTTCAAAGCAGTAAAAATCATGTGCTGACGATGATCAGTCATGTACAAGTTCACAGCTGTAAACCGCTGCAATTAGTTTCATATATTCCACTCCTCACAATAACATGCGACTAAGAAACTAAATTTTCATCCTGCTCATTGCTGAGAGAAACATGACAAACCTCCAGGATGCACAGGCCTATTTGTTATATTTTGCAAAACAACCAGTCAAGATGCCTAAATACCCTACCACTCAAAGTTAACCAAACAAGCTTTCCCGCTGCAACTACATTGAAGACACACATTTGACAATGCACTGATTAAGGCAAAAGTAATTACTTAATTGAGGAGCGGTGGTGTCTCGAGAGTGACAAGGAGACAGACAGACATGAACAAAAGGGACACATCAGCAGGCTGGCCCAGCTGAAAGCGCTTCTGTTCAGAAATGTATCAGTTCAAAGTACAGCGGCAACCAGAGAAATAAGAGACTTTGCTTATCTGCCACCTGTAAGAGTGATGGTTTAGTGAGTAATTCAACCCCCCCCCCCCAGTCAACTACCAGCGCGCACTGCCATTTCAAAAGAAAAGGAAACTACTGTACATTAGTTTAAACCGCAGAAACCAGACCGCCCCTTTACATTAAATACAGCCAGGGCGGATAGTTACGTCTGTTTAATCCACATATTTAGTCCTACTTTTAACCCACAAATTAAGCTATAAACCAAACAAGCGCTATTGATGGACACCCCCAGAAAAATACATATATTTACAAAACATGTAGGAAAATTTTCAGTTACAGGCTTAAGTTAACCGGCCGACCCAGTTACATTTTGGTATGGTTTTTACTAGCTGTTCAACACAAACACCCATGATTATTTAACATAGCCAACTGGTCTTGCGGCTTACTAAAGAAAAGTTTCACGAAAGTCGACACGGCGCTTGGAGAGTGGAAAGTAACCACGGTTCAGGGGCTGGAGCCGCCTTCTAATTCGGAAGAGGCCAGATGCGTAAACACAAGTAAAAGCACAATAAAACTGTGTTCATACGGGTTTAACCAGCTAACCCCACCTTTACTAAGCGCCTCCGCCAGGCCGGACTTGACACGAGCCGGCAAAATACACCCAATCACATCCTGTCTGCCAACTCCATCTCGCCTCACATAAAAGTGCTTCTCCTAGTAACCGAAGACATATGTCAACGCCTAAAACAACAAAACTACGTCTAAACTGTATTTATCAGCCTGGAAAAGAACAGACATCAGGTTAAAACACGTCGCAACTCACTATTCCTTGATGAGCACCATCTTCTCGTCTGCGGCTGTGGATGCGACTGCGCCTGCGCGACGACGTCTCCTGGCCCGCCCACCTGCTGACGCTGATTGGTCGAGTTAGGGCGCGGCCGGTCGCTGCCGGACCACTGGCAAGCCGACCGCGGAACTTTACTGATGGGCGATCGAGCGGGATCTCTGTCAATCAAGAGGGGGCGTTGCTAAAAAGTCAATCTTCGAGAAGTATGCCGTTGGTTCGAAAACGTTTTTTATTTAATTACTTCGGCTTTTAAATCTCTTGATTACAGCATCTGGGGTATCCTTTTTTCTAAAATAACTAGACTTTATATTAGACCACAGGACCATGTAAGACTGTTGCTCTAAGTTGCCTTTAGTTAGCGTCTTTATAAATCAAGCGCAGGTTTGACCAATTCACCACATTTCATTAAAATCATTGTGAAACTGTTAGAACTGATATCCTGAGGTAATTGATTTTTAACCTGTGTAAACAGGACATGGTAACAATTATATAAATTCCTTGAGGGGCTGCATTAGATAAGATTTCTATGCCCAGTTTACAAGACACCACTAATGGAGGTGTAACTTGTATTGGATGGAAATTCTTCTCAGAAGTGTCCCTTTTTGACACCTTGTTACCTTTAGCATTGATATCGATATTATCACGCTGTGTCTCCATGATGTAAACCTCGAAATTGCATCAGCGTGGGATTAAAAAACAATTTATAGTAACAATTGAAAACAATTACCATAGTAAATTGTAATTCCAATTTCCCCTTTCCTGTCCGATTGTGCATGCAATAACTCCTGTTGTACAAAAACATTGTTAGGTGAAGCTGTCTCAGTTGCCCATCATGTGCAATTGTGTCCTGCAATGGATTGCCCTCCTATCTAGTCTGTCTTCTACCTTGTGCCCAGTGATTCCTCAGAAATGGTTACTGAAGATGGATTTTGATACAGTGCTTCCATGCTAGCAGTGTAAGCCGTCTGAAATGTGCTATGAAGTTTACTGTTATGTGGACCTATTCATCACGCTGCACATAAACACAAACCTCTACAAGACAGCAAAACTTGATCTTTATTGAAACTGTTTACTGATAAATGACTACGAGATGTCTGTTGTACTTTCTTAATTGAAAAACTGTCTTTCAAAATCGTGTGCTAAAAAGACGTTGAAACAGAAGGTAACCCATGCTTTAATGACACTGAATTCACAAAGATGCCAGGCCAAGTGCCTTATCCACGTTTAAAAAAAATATGAAATATTTTCACCGTTTTCATTTATTTTTACATGGTAGAGTTCTGTTTGATTTTTCAATCATATAAAAAGGTTTAATGCTGATTGTGAAACACTGGATTTAATTTACAAAACATAAGAACTATAATAACAATAATAACATTAACAATTATATTAAAACGAAATTAAAAACAACAAAACAGTCCAGTTTTGGGAACACAAACATTTTTTCCGGAGGAAATACCATTTGGTATTTGAAGTCATGTCAGATTTAGCGTTCTTTACAGTGTAGTTGCAGGCATACAGATCACAGGTTCATGTCCGTCTGAATCAGTGGAACAATGAACTCTTCTTTTACTTTTTGCAGGCCTGTGTGATCCGACCTGCATTGTGTTTTTCAGCATTTCAAAAAGAGCAGTCAATTAGAAAGCTCACATAAGTGCAGGCTGCCAATCAGCAACTGTGATAGGAGGAGCAGAAAACAGAGAGAACCAATCAAAAAGTAGGTCTTAAGTAGTTCTTAGCACTTGGATGAGGGGAAAAATCTCCCTGGAGAGAGAAATTTGTACCCATTCCCAGAGGGCAGTCTGATGGGGTAGGTCCCTGGGCTGCTGCTGATGGAGGTGCTTGGGGAGGCGGGTGCATTCTTGGGGTCATGCTTACGATGCCCATTGGGGAGGTCCCCGCTGCCCTGATCGAAAACCTGCACTCCCAGGTGCTGGAGCTGCAGGCTGTCGGCCACCTTGTCTGGCTTCCCGTGGCGTGGGGAGAGGTTCAGCAGGCTGAGGACGTCGCTTCCTTGCACAGTCATGGCACCAGGACCTCTGCGAAAGGCCCGGATGGGGCCCAAGTTCTGCCCCTGGTGCTGGACCCCCGACGCCCAGAAGGTCTTAAGATTGTGGATGGCCTGGACTTTCTCATCGATCGCAGCTAGCTTGAGGCGGTCCAGGTCAGGGGCATCAGCTGGGCTGGATCGGGTGGAACCGGTGGAGGAGTAGGAAAGGGCCGGGGAGGGGGCGCTGCCAGCAGGGGACTGGTGGCCGGAACTGGGTGAGACGTTACTGGGGGAGCAGGAGATGTGGCCGCTGTAGGGAGAGCTGGGGTACTTGACCTTGAAGTGATTGTGACCATCCAGGGTGGGGGAGGGGTGGCCGCCATCTTTGAGCGAGATCTCGGAGGTGGCGGGGCTGCTGTAGCCGGAGCTCACCTTCTGCAGGGACGAGGAACGGGACGGGGGCCTGGGCCGGCTGCTGAGAGTGGGGGACTGGGCCTTGGTGGCCGAGCCGCCGTGGAGCCGGCTGAACGCGCTGGTCTCCGAGGAACGGAAAGCACAGCTTCCCGTGGGGCTGGGTGTGTGTGCCGGCCTGAGGGCCACACCGGCCCGCTGCAGGCTCTCCACTGCCCGCAGGTGGCTCTGTGTCTCTTCCAGAATCTTCTGTGCCAGCTCCTGAGGGTCCAGTTTGGCCTTCTCCTCCTGCGACTTGACCGTGCTGTCGGTCTCCGTGCTGGATTGGTCCGATTCCGCCGTGTCCGAACTGCTGACCTTGCCCACTTTTTGGCACGGCGAGATGCGGGTGGGCGCAGGAACGGGCCTGACTGGTGAGGTGGGCGTGCTGACGCTGCCGCGAGAGGAGACAGAGACCACCTGGTGGCGCTGGAGGCCCCGGCAGCCGGCCCGGCCACGTGGTCGCCGGTGCCCGGCGGGTAGGGGCAGCGTGTCACAGTGCCCGGTGGCACCTAGTGGCTCACTGCTGATGATGGAATAGCCTTCATACTCTTCATCCTCGTCCCGGCCGCCGCCGCCGTGTGGGGAGGAGCGGCTCCGTGGAAGGGGATTGCGGTGGAGCGAGCCCAGGAGGCCCGCCCGGCCCCGGTAGCGCTCCTGCTCCGCCATCCGGGCCCGCTGGCTCAGGAAGTCGCTGGCGCTCTCCGACTTGGACGCAAAGCTCATGGAAGAGGTGACCGAGCTCAGGCTGTAGACGGAGATGGCATCAGAGGCGAGGCTGTCCAGGCAGGGCGGGGAGAAGGGCGGGTTCACGTAGCCCAACGGCAGCGGGTTCGAGATGGACTGGGCCGAGGCCAGAGACTCCAGTGAGGAGGAGCTATCCAGACTGAGGCGTTTGGGGACCTCGGTGGAGTCTGAGAAAGAAGGGATTGGCAAAGAGAAAATTGGACCTATTAATGTAAGATAACACTCCATCAATTCACCCATCCACCCTTCACAGCACAGGGCCACATGATCTGCTACTGATTCGGCTGCTTTCCACCGTGTCCCCATCACCTCTCACCTTGTCCGGCAGTTTAGATGCTGACACTCGACGGGCTGCTGTGTTCTGGAGGCATGCGAGGGGCTTACCAAAGAGAGCCAGCAAGGACTGCAGGGCGAAATGCATGGTCCTCCGGTTAGCCTGCTTTCCCGTCTTCAGGATCACCTCCTCCTGGCCCACCTCACACAGGTCAAACCCTGGTGTGTCAGAGGTGGCTTTTTCAGTACAACATGCAATGCAGGGTACCCAGGAGGGCAGGAACGTGGTGAAGAGGTGCAATGCGGCGATGGTTACGTATCCAGTTGAAATCAAAGGAGTGTAACTACTGTAGCTTTGAGGCGCTGTATGGCTTTATTGAAATAAATGGCCACAGTTATAATGACAGCCTATTCATATATTCTCATTCTATAATACCAACAGAAATTTCTTATGTCACTCTGTGATCTGCCTGTATGAGAACAAATGCTAATAGGTGATTGGCTGCCTTGAGGGTGGAAAACACAGACGCTCCATGTGATTGGAAGATTTGAAAGCACAAAGACAATTGGCTCCCCGGACGTGTCACCTACCCAGTGCAGCCAGGAACTCGTGGCACCCAGGCAGCCTCCAGAGCTGGACGCTGATGGACACCTGGATGGGTGCTGAGCAGAAGTCCTGCTCCTTCTCCCCAGTCTGCAGCTGAACCAGGACCTGGTGGAGCTGTGCAGATGGAGGATACACAGTGGTCAAAGGTCCGTGTTTATAATCTCCTAATTCATAGCAAGTCAGACATCCCATCTAGACTCTATCCCACCCTTTGAAATGGCTGGATTTGTTTGAAGATTTCAATACGTTAATCTTTATACGAGTGTCAACCAGCAGAATAACTTTGCACTCCGGAAGGTTAGAGGCACGTGATGAGAGTGAGGATCATGTTGTGGTGATATGGAGCAGGCAGAGGTGGGCGGGTTCGAATACAGCGGGAGATGAGGATCAAGCTACAACAGACAGCACTTACCATGCCCACCACATTTTTAACAGCCTTCATGGGGTGGGTTAGCAGGGAAAGAAGAGAGAGAGATTTTAGCACCAAACACAGCGAGCATTAACAAAATCGCCAGTGGGAAACAGCCACAGCATATCACAGCTAGAACATGCAGCGACACACAAGGCAGGACACGCACCGCAGCCACAGAACGGCAAGACGGAACAGCCACAGCATATCACAGCTAGAACATGAAGCGACACACAAGGCAGGACACGCACCGCAGCCACAGAACGGCAAGACGGAACAGCCACATCCTCACAACATCAAATTCCCAACATTCATTCTGATTCCAATATCATCCACTTCTCGCTGATATTCATTCTTACTGTCTTCTTATATCAGAATAACAATCTAGCAGTACTGTAGTCTATCAGCTTTGCAATCATGGTGATGTGATAAGCTATTAATGAATTCCCAGGATTATTTAGCTCGCTGCTTCAGAGCTCAGATAAACCTATCAAGCTTCGATCTCCGAGCTCTGATCACTCATAAAATTCTCCCTGCTGTCTCACTTCCTGAGACAGTGTCCATGGGCCATGCCAACGCCGTGACGGAGAGGCCACTCTGTGTGGCCGCGGCATGGTGATTTCGATGCCTACCCTGTTGATGAGCTGTTCTCCAGTCTCAGAGGCTGTGATGAGCTTGCATAGGGCCTGCAGGGCAGGGGGTGGCAGACCTGGCGGAGGGCAGGAGTGTCGGGGTGAGATATTCATATTTTTCACTATGCATCTAGCCCCACCCTCAGCTCCACCCAGCTCCACCAAGCCCCGCCCCCCACATACCCAATAGTGCCTGCAGCGTGGTACTGCACTGCTGTAGCCGGTCCCCGGGATCGGCGGTGGGGAAGAAGACGGCAGCGGGGAGCCCTGTGCCAGCTGATTCCAGCCGGAAGCCGACGGCCGTCAGTAGGGCCTGCCAGCCGGGAACTCCGCCCACTTTGTTCTCCACGCTCTGCTGGGACGTGTACATGGAGTTACGCTGGCCACTCTGGATCCGCTGCAGTGACTTCTCCACCTGGGTAGGGCAGATGGAAGGGGGTGGGAAGGGGAGGTGCCAGTCGGGAGGGAGGGGCCAGAATAAATGGTGGATTAAAAAATAGAACAAGAGAATATAAGACAAATAGGTAAACAGGGCAAAGCATGTAAGGAGTGAGAGAGAAAGAAAGATGGCGAGTGATGGAAAAAGGTCATGACAGACGGAAGAAGGGAGAAGGAACATGTTCACAAGAGAGGACTCAGCACTGGCAGCTAGGCACTGGAAGTGGATCTCACCAGGTGCAGTAAGACCCTCAAAGCATCCCGAGCCCTGTCCGGATACTGCAGGATCTCTGCCAGCGCCTGTCCAATCAGAGATGAGGGGCTATTCAGCTTTACATCGCTGCCAATCAGCATGAAGCCTGCAGAAACACATCCCCATAGAGAAGGGGGGGGGGGGACAGTGGGTTACAGTGAGTACTGACTGACCTGCTGGAGGGGTGGGGGATTGCAGTGAGTATTGGCCAGCCCAGGTGGAGGGGTGGGGGGTTACAGTGAGTACTGACCGGCCCAGCTGGAGGGGTGGGGGGTTACAGTGAGTACTGACCGGCCCAGTTGGAGGGGTGTGAGAACTGCGAGTTGCTCTGCACGGCCTTCATGGAGTCCGCCAGGGCGGTGCTGGCCTTGGTGCCATTGAGCAGGGCTGAGTAGAAGCTGTGCACCAGGATCTTGGACGCGGCGGCGGGTGCGGGCCACAGTGACACCAGCACGCACTGTGCCCCGGCTGCCAGGAAGGCCCGCGTCAGGCCCACCATGCCGTCTGCCGTCACCTTGCTGTCCGACTCCTGGTAGGAGCCGAGCACCACCAGTTTGACGGGCAGACGGAGGTCCAGGATGTCGGCGGCGGTGAGCAGGAGCTCCTGCAGAGGCGGGCTGTCGCAGATGCTCTCGGCATCACTGGCATCATCCGGGACCCGCAGGCTCTCAGGAATGGTGTAGGCCTTGCCAGTGCTGGTGCCGGGACCGGTGCCACCCCCCAGCCCCACCCCCTCCTGGCTGGGGGTGAGTACCAGGGCGGCCAGCTTCCAGGAGATGTGTGTGGCGAAGTGGATGCACTCGGCCTGGCCCAGGGCGGCCATCACCTGCTCCTTGGTGGCAGACAGGCCACTCATTGGCTGACACCCCAGCAGCTCCGCAACCATGTGGCCTTCCTCCTCCGCCGAGGGCATGGGCCCCCACAGCCAGCGGTCCATCACCGTGGGCGGCAGCTGAGGATTGGCCACCACCGCTGCCGTGGACACGCCCCTGCAGAGGGCTGGCCCCGCCCTCCTGGAATGAGGCTGGGCACAGAGACCAAAACAGTTAGCCGGGGGTTTATACTTAATCGTGCATTAGCATGTATGATGCTGTAGTCTATTTAAAATACACAATCAAATGATGTTAGCAGAGAAAGGCCTGCATTCAGGGGTCGGGGGTAAAGGGTCACGCTCTCACCTTGGAGGTCAGGCTGCCCACGGAAGGCACGGCGATGAGGCTGAAGCGCTCGTACAGGTACTCGTTTGAGGAACTGC